GATCCCATGGGGAATGGAGCTGGAGCAGCGCATGAAACTCTTTGTGCACGCGGGGCACTTGCAGGGCTTCCCTTAGCGGTGGCTCTGTTGGTGTCTGGTCAAGGTAGAGCTCTGTGAGAAGCTCTTCCCACACTCTGGGCACTGGAAGGGCCTCTCCCCAGTGTGGGTGCGCCGGTGGGTGACGAGGGTGGAGTTGTGCTTGAAGCCCATGCCGCAGTCGGGGCAGAGAAAGGGCCGCTCCTGCACGTGAATCCGCTGGTGCCTGAGAAGGTGAGAGCTGGTCTGAAACCTCTTCCTGCATTGATCACACTTGTAGGGCTTCTCCCCCGTGTGGCTCCTCAGGTGGTAGATCAGGTGGGAGCGCTGGCAGAAGCTTCTGCCACACTCCCCACACTCATAGGGACGTTCACCGCTGTGCAGTCTCCTGTGGCAGATGAGGTAGGAGCTCTGGCTGAAGCTCTTCCCACACTCGGGACACTCATAGGGCCTCTCCCGCATGTGGATGTGCTGGTGGGTGATGAGGCTGGAGTTGTACTTGAAGCCTTTCCCACAGTCAGGGCAACGGAAGGGCTTCTCATCGGTGTGAGTGCGCTGGTGCCTGAGGAGATCGGAGCTGGCCTGAAACCTCTTCCTGCATTGGTCACACTCGTAAGCTTTCTCCCCGGTGTGCCTCCTCAGGTGGACAACCAGGTAGGAGGTGCGGCTGAAGCTCTTCCCACACTCCCCACACTCATAGGGCCTCTCCCCGGTGTGGCTCCTCAGGTGGGCAGCCAAGTTGGAGCTCTGGCTGAAGCTCTTCCCACACTCGTCACACTCGTAGGGCTTCTCCCCCGTGTGGATTCTCATGTGGCAGATCAGGTCGAATCTCTGTCTGAAGCTCTTCCCACATTCCGAGCACTTGTGGGGCTTCTCCCCATCCTGGAGCTGCTCATGGACCCCCGGCTCTGAGCTCTGGCCACCACCCTGGCCCAGGGTGGGTCTTTCCTCCTCGGATCCCCGAGATCTGCGTTTGCAGCCCCTCCTCGTGCGGGATCTCCGGGGATTTTCCTCTTTGTTGGATTCCTGTGGTGTGGACCCACTCAAAACGGCCTCTTCCACGCGCTTCTGCTGTGGGGATTTGTCCTCCCTGGTCTCCCTCCTCAGCTCAGTGCCTGGGGGAGGAAGGAAAAGGAGAGGATGGGATTTGCCTCCATGCCACAGGGAAGGGCAAGGAGATCCCCCCAGCGCATCCCCAGCAGGATGGTGTTGTCTCTCTCAGTGTCCCAAAGTGTGATCCC